ACACACACACACACACACACACACACACATTTAGTTAAAAAGCCTTTATCTGAATTAACTGGTTTCTTTAGAAAGAATGAATGAAAAAGATTCCTGCATATTTTATGGCTTCTTATATGCATTCCTGTGCTTTTTGTTTCTGGGGAAAAATAACCACATATTCCAATACTTTCCCCTATAAAAGAAATAAAATCAATAATAAAATCAAGTTGCTTCCATGTTCCTCTATTTTGTCCAATGCTTCATTTGCTCTCTCCTCCTTGGCTTTGGAGACAATTACATTGGGTAAATGTAAAATTCCTGGGAAGCAGACAAAGCCCAAGAAGTCCTTTTGATATTGTCAATTACTTCCAAGTTAGCTGAGAAGGAAACTCACTCTCTTGCTTTCATGGCAAAGAGCTGGTGGCTGCTTTAGCAGGACTACCACTACACCTGTCCCACAAAGCATCTGTCAGCGCTGAGCTAATGGGGACCTAGCCACCTTCATTGATACTGCATGAAACACATTATTTTCGTTATAAATATATCATACAATACTGCTTCCTATTTTGTCATACACTAATATGGCGTTCTTCCACAAATTTATGCCATTAAAACCTTACAAAAAGAGCTTATCTTTGTTTTCTTTCACAATTTCTTTTTTCTTTAAGCCAGCCAGTAAAATAAAAGGCAGTACCCGCTTTTAGCTATACAAGTGTAAATCTGAAGATAGAATATATCTTCTATACCACTTTTTACTTCTGTTGTTTTCTGATCTTTCAATGCCTTCGATGTTGCTGCACAGAAGTTGTGGATGCAAACTATAAATCAAAATGGCTAATAAAGCAAATACATTGTTATTCACAGTGGTGTGGCTACATATATGCATCTTTTTATGCATATTCAGTCTGGCATTTAAGCATTCCGAGATGGAGAAGGATTTCAGTGAGATTCCCCAAACCAGTATAGTTCATAATCCAAAAGATATATAGGAAATTAATCTGGATTTACAAAACTTTCATTTGTGGGTAAGCATCAATTTTCAGATTCCAAATTAAGAAACAGAAAAATGGAAGTCCAGAAAAAACCCTCTTCAAATATTTGGATTGTTATCCTTTGTTTTTCCATGTTACTAGTCCTTAAGAAAGAGTTTGTTGTGGTGGTTGTTTAATATAAAAAAGGTCCAACTTTTGTCCTCCCATTTAATTCCCAATCTTTATTCCTCTCTTACTAACCTCCAGGCAGAGACACACGTGGAATTTGCAACTATAAAGCTTAATGGTGTGATATGATAGTGACACAGAGCAGAAAAAATAACCTCGGCATCCAGTCTTCAGAGTCAGAAAGGAAAATTTATGCCAGTCAGCCAGAAGAAGTTGTTGAACAACCATTGATGGATGCTTTCCGGGTTCTGTTGGTAAAGGAGGCATGGTGGTTACCACTTGGGCTGCTGCTGGTTCCATTCATAGTGCTAGAGATGTGGGGGAACTGGGGGTGGGGAGATTGCACCGGAGTGCTGGGGCTCAACACGCAGGATGATGTGGAAGGAGCACCTCCCATGGGGCTGCCAGCTTTTTCACTGCCAGAGTCACTTTCCAGGTCCCCACTGTTGTGCAAGCCATCCCTCTGCTGGCCACCTATTTTCATTCTCTTGCAGGTTTGTCGCACACGGTACTTTAAAGGGAGGGGGCCGTTCTGGCAAAGAAAATCAGAAAGGAAACCCTTGTTAGAGAGTGTACTTTTGTTTCCCCTGTGACTTAACATGACCAAGACTTGGAAAGACTCTTATATATTTACCCTTCTCCAAGTGTAAATGTAGGCTATATCCATTAGTGTGTAGTAGTCCTTCAAAGGCTCTTCTTCATACATGACATCTATCTAATAAAAGAAATGAAATCATACTTCCTTTAACATGACAGGGAAGTGTGAAAGATTGCAATATGGCATATGCTGTACTATCTTAATCAAACATCATACATTTTATCTGAAATTAATAAATACATCGATTCAGTTTAGAAGATATCTGCCATTCTGTCAAAGGGCTTAGAATATAATGATTCAGAGAGAAACCCTCCAAAATCCATTCCTGTAGGTCTTTTATCTAAAAATGCTGCTGTTTAATTCCAAAGGCGAATTCTTTTCAACAGAATTAAAGTTTAAATAATGGCTTTAGCTAAAACTGTTTTATGACAGTTCTTCCCCATCAATGTCCCTAGGACAAAAGTACCTGAAAAGCATTGGGTATGTCCATTTTGCTCCGGAGAAACTTCCTTAAGTGCATTACAGTCATTGCTGCAGGACAGCGTAAATATCTTTTGTTGTTGGCCTGGGAGGGGCATTTGGTTGAGACAACATTCAAAATCTGATACTAATGTTCATTTCAATATAGTAGACAGAAAGAGATGGAAACATGGTTAAACTAGCAGCATGAAAACTGGTGCTCACTGGTGATCCAAAATCAATGAAGAAAAAGCAAAATGCATGCTTATCAGATTCTTCTTTTATAATTTAATTTATACAAATTTTATTCTTAAAAATGCCTACACTAACTAAGGGGGGAAAATAGGAGAAAGTTTTCTAATATATTATCAGCCTTTTAAATGCCCTTGATTGTAATTAGTAAGAAGGCATGCTCACTCTGCAGAATAACCAACTCTAGTAAAAACAAATATGGTTTTATTTTCTGAAAAAGAAATAAAAAGGTCAAGGAACCAGCTATCTACTTACTTCCTCTTTGGCTTTCTCCTTCTCTTTGCTTCCTTTCCGTTCAACTCTAGAAAAAGGATATATATTATAGCAGTAAAGAAAAAAATATGAATGTACTAATAAAGATAAGACACTGCTTTTATAACTTACCTATTTTGGTCAAAGAACTCAATGGATAAGCTTATTATTTCATCATCTGTTATAATCCTTTTATCTTCATCTGCAACTTCTCCTCTGTCTTCATTTGAGCCATTGGCAGCTGCACAGAAATGTTCACAGTAAGTTATATTTTAAAATTCAAATCAGAAAGAGTAAAGACAACAACAGTCATAAATCATAAATCATACTCACTACTAAAATTATTTCTGTAAATAAATTTAAACAATTTTGAATGTATAAAATATTTGCTATGATGAGCACTAAAATGGTAAAATATTTTTACAATCTCAATTTCTGCTTAGAAAGTAATTCTTTATAAAATTATAAACTCAGAATCTTTTTTTTACCATCAGCAGATGGATGAGCAGCATAAAAATCTCTTCTTCTTTTCATTTCATCTGAGAGAAAATATATTTTTGTTATTCATCTCTTCCAGTTTACACATTCTATTACTGCATTGGCTGTTCAGTCCAATTGCTTACTTACTTTTGAAAAGACCTGGTACTAACTTGTATACAATGTCCTGGAGAGTTTTATCAGATCTGGAATATAAAGTCCAATGTTAATATTTACAACTTTCCAGAACAAAAACAGCTTGGTTGAGAATTTTTAACCAAAACTTTAACCAGATCTGAATTGTTTTATATAAATTTTAGATCTATGCTATTAATCTACTTGTATTTTTTTGCTTTGGTAGAAAGATATCAGATTAGACTGTCACCATTGTAAAAATGTAGGCATTTAATAAAAAGATGTAACCCTTAAGCCAATGAAATGCAACTAAATAATGATTTATCTAAATAATTTAACTTTTGCATTTCTTGATCAGTACTTTATAGTTTATTTATAAAGATCAATACTGAAAAAAATACAGGAAATTAATATGCACACTGACAATAAGAACAAATTGCAACTGAGGCAAAGTAAGAAAGAAAAGAAAGATAAAGGGAATAAAAATGGGCTTCTAATGTAGAAAAAGAAGAAAAATGACTAATTAAAATGCAAGACTGATATTTATGGAAATAGTACAATTATGTTTCCTGGACTGTTCTTTTTTAGATTTGCATTGGCAAGGAAGTTGCACTGAAAGAAATATAATATATGAAAAGATATACTATGACATAAATATTTAGTTGTCTTTTTTCTTACCTTATGTTCAAAAGAGGCCTAGTTTTGTGAACTTGGACATCACAAATTGGACAATACTTGCTGGTCTCCAAGTAATGTACAATACAAGTCTTACAAACTGCAAGAGGAAAAAATATATAGAATTGTAAAGAAATAAGGTTACAAAGCAGAATCAAGGCATGGTTTTCAGCTGTTATTTCTAACCCAGACTCTAAACAAAGTTAGCTGTTTCTCGGCAAGAAAGGGCCATATGGTCAGTGAAGGAATTTGGTCCTGCAGAGCCAACCTTGCTCCACCAGGACCCCAGGGACAGGAGGGCTGGTTGGCAGCAGGCCTCTGATTAGAAGCAACCAAGCAGGACTTACAGGAGTGCAGGCACTCGATGATCGTGGTAGCATCGATGAAATACCCTCCGCAAATCACACACATGAGATGGGGGTTGAGCTCCGTAATTTTGATGCGGGTGGTGCGATGCATTTTGGTTCAATCCGAGGAGACTCTAAAAGATGTACAAACAAAGAGGAGCGCTTTAAACACCGTGGGGGAACTTCGGAGGCGCGGCCCAACACGGCTCTCTCACTTCCCCGCGGCTTAAAAGTGGCCTCCTCTAGGGGAAGGCAAACAATCGGATTCAGGCGAGAAAAAGGAGGTGCGAAGCCGCCGGAGCCAAGAGCGCAAAGAAGCGGCAGTAGAGCGGGGCTCCTTCCAGAGTGCTCTGTCCACTGACCACCTGCCCCCAGCCCTGCACGGCGATATTCAAAAGAGGAGTTGCCTGGGACGGGCGGAGGAGGCTCCTTAGGGCAACTCCCACGGGCTTTCCCCTTCTCTCCCCCAACAGCACTACCGGAAAACCGCAGGTCTGGATTGCGGAGGGGAGGTCGGGACAAGCGGGAGGCGGGAGAGTGATCCTAGTGGAAGCGCGGACGTTGCTCTGGGCATTTCCGGCGAGAAGAGGGGGGTGGCGGCCGCGGTTGAAGCGGCGGCGGCGAAAGAAGCAAGCAAAGGAGGGGTGGCTGGCTGGCAGCTGGCGCGGTTTGGGCCCGCACCTCGGAACAAGGGCTGGCAGGCGGTAGCAGCAGGCAGGATAAGATCAAGCCGAGCCCCAGGAACGGGGACGGCTGTTAGCTCGTAGCCGCCGCCAACCCAAGAAACTCGGGACCGAGCCGCCTTCGGAACCATTCTAGCGAGGGGGTTGCTATAGCAACTTACACTTACACTTGGCATCCTGCCACCACCCGGAGCGCACCAGGGGAGAGGGGGCGGGGAGGCGCCAGGCTGGGAAGAGGTGGCTTGGAGAGGAAACGGGAGGGGGCCGCAGGGGTTTGGAGGCTCGGCGCAGAAGAAATCCCAGTCCCTTCTGGGGCAACAACTGCTGCCCCTGGTGTAGGGATCAAGCGGGGAATAGGGAGAAGGAGGACGGGCCGCGGGTACCGCTGTAGAAAAGAGCCGGGATCGTGGCCAGGGATGAGGCCGGGGGAAGGATCCTGGCCGGGTGTTGTTGGCGGGGCCAAAATTCCTCTCCGAGCAGTCCAGTTGGGCGGGCAGACGCGTCGCAGGAAAGAAAGCGAGGACGCCAAAAGCGGGGCTGGTAGTAGGAGGCCTCGAGGGCGGCCCGAGTCAGCTTTGGGGTCGATGCCAGGCCGAAAGCAAGAGGCTCCTCCAGGGGCTTTCAGTTTCTCTCGGGGCCTCCATCCACGTCGGCCACGGGCAAGAAAGCGGTCGTTGCTTCCTTCCCTTCTCCGCCTCCCGGCTCCGCGACACCACTTTATCGCCTCTTAGATCGCCAAGGCACAGAGTTAAATATTGTCCCCTTTCGGGTTGGTAGGAGACTTTAGAGGGGCTTTAGAGCCTTTGCCATTGACCCGACTGGGATTCAAGAGGGTCCTAGCACACCCATCTCCGGGCTCTCGTGGACATCCCGCTCTGGCGTCCAATCTTGCAGGGTCGCAGATCCTAGGATGGTGCAAATATACCGCGGCTCTTGGGCTGCAGCCGGAAACTGAAGAGAGCAAAGCAAGTCTGGAGAAATCCTCAGGAGGGGCATGTTGCTCCACCGCCCGTCAGGAAAAATTTTACGATGGGAGGTAAAGGAAGTGGGGGAGGTTAGGGTCAGTCGAAAGAACAGGTTCCATTCCCGCAGCCGCGGATCTACCTGTTTTACTCTGAACCCTCAGCAATCGAGGCAAAATGTTCAGGCGCTTCCGAAAGAGCCCCGAATTTATGACCAATGTTCCAAAAGTTGCGAGGGTAGGTGGGAGAGGGATAGAGAGTACAACTAGGATCGTTCACCACAAAACCAACTACCAAAACTTCACATTGTATGTACCTCTTCCCCGGATGGAGAAAAGGGAAAGAAAAACAGAGAAGAAAGGACACAACTGCGTGAAGGAAATTGCTATTTTTATCCTTTTTTTGGGGGGGGGGGGGGAGCAAAAGATATACAAGTTTGGAATAGAAGGGGAAGGAGAGATTCGATAACCTGGGCCTGAGAACTGGCAAAGAAAACAGGAGCCTCCATGCCTGGCCTCTCCTTCTGGTTCCAGAGCATTTTTCAGGATATGAATAAAGGGTATACTTCTCCACCCAACATTTTAGCAGATAATTGAAGTCCTTCTTACCACTACCACCACTACTATCATGATAAAACACATCTATCTGTTCAAATCAAGATGCAGCAAATACAAATACTTTAACCAAAAGGTAGATTAGAAAGGGTCCACCAATTCAATAGACTTAATTTTTTTTCCCAAGCAGTGAGGCACAGAAGAAGGCAACTCAATTAGTCAGAAGATACAAACACATGTTTCATTTCAGGGAAACAGAGCCTCTGCCTAAGTAGAAGAAAACTGAAATCAAGCGTGAAGCTTTGTTACTCGAAGCTTATTATTTATTACCTACTTAGGTCCCTCCTCCATGATCTCGTTGGAGGTATCAACTGAATTCTTAAACCAACATTCCTGAATCAAAGCTATGCATCAGTGAAAGATGCCAGCAACTCCCATGCACTAATTTATATACACTCATAAACAAAACAGGCATCCCATTACCCAAAGTACTAACTTTGGGGTGGAGTAGGGGCTTTTATTCCCTCGTGTTCTTTCCCTGAAGTCCCCCACCTCATTGTAGTAATGGTATACTTTTCTGTATCCAAGACACAATGCCTTTTAATATTGTATTTTATTTTCACCCCCCCCCCCCATGAATTCCACCAGGAAAACAGGGAGAGATAAAACTTGTTATCTAAAACTATGTACAGTTACCAGCAGCCTTACATGTGTTATGTCAACCTAGAAAACTATGGATAGTTGGGTGGATGGATGTTTTAGAAATTAGGCTCTAGGCTCTTGAGATGTCAATTCATCAAGGCTGCCTAAAATAACGAGGCTTGTAGGGGCAGATATGTAATCTGGTCCACTTTGCCTTGAATTGTCATTAGGTGCCGTTTTAAAGGTAATCCCTGAAGCATGAATGTCCCACTGAAGAGTCCCAGCCAAGAAAGAAATAGGTATGTTTAGTATAACCCATATTCTCTCCAGCTAAACCCTTTCATCTAGGGAATGGACCTCTCCAGCTAGTTTCCTCAAAGGCAGGAGCCAGTTCCTTTCTGGCTAGGTAAATGCTGATACATTGAGTGGGAAGGCTCAGCACCAACTAACTATATATATATTAAAAGATGAGCTCTAATTTACCAGAGACCAGAGTAGGGAAATATCCAGCTTCACAAATCACTCTTTCCCTACACCTCAAAGTTATATATTTGGACTTCCAAGAAAGATCATTTGAAACTAACAAATATTGAATAGTGGGAGGCTAACAAAAACTTAAAAGGACGGTGAGGAAGGCTGTGGATCACATAGTTAACTTTGGAGAGAAAGGTTAATTGCAGGGAGAGAAGATTGGATTAAGCGCCCTTGAGTTATTTCCCACCAGGCATTAAAACAACAAAATAAGCTGAGTTGTAGCAGTATCTACTTTGTCAAAGCCACCAGATTTTACACAAAACAAGTTTCCCACCCAGGCACCTTTAGAGCCAGGACGAAAACCATCACATCTGGGCTAACAAGATGTTTCAGTTAACCTTCCCTTATTCAACTTGGAAGGGTAAGATGTGTGAGGGAGAGGCGAAATCCTGGCTAAATAATAGAAAGCTGCAGTAGGATTGCTTGCAACTTCTATTAACTCAGCTCCCTCAATTCCACCCCATGTTCAATCTGGATATAAGAACTCCAAGAATTAAACGCGCGTTAACCTCTCTCATTGAAGCTAGATTTCCAGCGCCAACCTCCTGTCCTCTCTTCCAAAGCTCGGGAGAAACTTCAGCATTTTAAGCACATATGCGAAAGGGCACGCTAAAAGAGAACCGCCATCTTACCAAGCCATCTTACGCCACACAGGTGTTGGTCGAACTTAAGTTAATAACATTTCTCCGGAGACCTCCAACGGCTCAGCGAACCCTCCAGCAAGATCGCAACCCCCTGCGGAACTCATCCCTATAAAATGGGAGCGCTAGGTGGCTTTTGAGCCCCCCGCCGACCCGTTTATTTCGTAAGCGATCGCCATCCCGTGACCCAGGCAGCTCAAGATTGCACGAAGTGTCGTTCTTCGATCGAAATCTGCCGATAAACAAAGAGGGCTGGACTTGAATGGCTAGTCACAACCGAAAATACAAACATCCTCCTTCAGGGCCGTGCATCCAGGAGGGCTCTACGACCTAGCTCCGATGGAAAGGGAACGAAAATTTGCAAGCGTTGGTGGCGGAATGAAACCAAGCGCCCGAGTTGCTACCGCCGCTGCTCTGGGCGCGCGCGCGAGGAGCTAACCGTGTGCGTGTGCGTGTGGCTGGAGCCGAGACTGTCAGCGCTTTTCCCATACGGAGAACACGGGGACACCGAAGCTCCCCCTCGCAGCCTTTCAAACCGCCCCCCCTCCCCAAAACTCTCCGCGGAGTCCCCATCGCCCTCCGACCTCGGCTAGAAAGCGCGCCCCTGCACACCTACCCGCAGAAGGACGCTGCCGGGGGGCGACCAAAGCTGCCGGGAAAAGACAATGAAAGTTAAAAGTCGTTCAGCAGAAAATGAATGTGAGCCAAGCGGCCATCTTGAAACGAACTGCAGGCGCTGTCAGTTGCAATCAGCGTATTGCTGCCGCCGTCGCTGTTACCGTCGCCGCCGCCACGCCGAGCTCCTTTTAGTTCCCCAAACAGCCGGGCGGTTCTCCTTCGGGCTCACTCCGAGTCTGCTTGCCTTTCCCCTCCTCTTCCTTTGCGCGTCTCCTTTTCTCTTTCTCTCTTCTTTTTCCACCCCCCACCTCGCTCGCTCACCCTCCCTACTCCTGGCTGGCTGCTCTCGCCTTCCTTAAAACGCGTAGCTCCAGCGCTGGGCTCTTAAAATATTTCCGGCCCGTCTGGACTGCCACTCTTCCTCCTCCACCACCAGCCCATTGTCTCTCCGGCTTCCAAGCCCTCCTCCCGGCTCCGTCTATCGGTTCCCCCCCCCCCGCCTCCTCCGCCCCGGTCTTGTGTTTTCCCTCTCCTGCCTTTCAGAGAGCTCTTTCTCTCTCCACTTTCCTCTTTGTAAAAATAACAATAATGATAATATGAAAATATTTGAATAATATCAGAGTTGTTGCTGCGGAAGGAGCAAGCGGGGAGGTGGAGGCAGTGGAGAACCGCGAGTGGTGGTGGTGGTGGAGGGAGCGAAGCACTGAAGGCGCACAGTGGAAACTGACACCGTAACCAAAATGGCTCAGAGTTCGCCCGCCCCGCCAGCGTCACGTGGGACTCCTCATTCCTTAAGGGTGGCCTGGGAATTAGTGTCGGTGTAGTCGGAGCCGTCAGCCTCCCTGTGACCCAATCCAGCGACTCGGACGCCTCCCCCCCGCGCTTGTGCGCCGCCCTCCCCTCCCCCTCTCTCTGCCCTCCGCCTGCTCTTCCGCCTCCCCCCCTCCAGACACGCGCGCGCGCACATACTTCGCTAGTCCTCCTTTTTTTCCGCGGCACTCACGCGGCTGCCTCTGTTCCACCTCCTCCCGCTCTTCCTCTCTCTCTCCCCCCCCGCCTCGCGCACTCACGCGCGTACAATGCCTTATTCCTTTCCTCTCCCCCCGCCTTCCAGCTTGCACACCTACCCCGCGCTACACACACTCATTCCTCTCTACCGATTTTACACGCCCTGTCACCTCGCGCGATCAACCCCTTTCTCGCTTAACAAGGGCACGCAGGGATCTCCGTTTGCCCTTTTCCCTCTCTCGTTCTCCGTCAAATCTGTCCTTTCACACAAAAACCTACCTCCACCCCCCTTCTTTTAAAGGCGTAATAAACTGACGGCAACCACAGACAGACCTTTGGCTTCAGTCTCTCCACCCCGAGCCTTTGCTACTGAAGCTGCTCTGATCCTTTCTCCTACAGCCTGCCTCCCCTTCGCGGCGCGCGCGCGCACACACACACTCCACACACACTCACATACAGACATTGGCTCGCGCGCCACATGCACATACATAGACACACACATTGAAAAAGGTTGCCCACCATTTTAGCAGCCAGTATGTGTGGCATTACTTCAGCGCCTTTCCCCAGAGCCTCTCCTTTGCCCCCAGACCTACTGTTCGCTCTTGCCCTCACCTAGCCTCTCCCACAACACCGACCTCGGGCGAGCATTCTTCCTCCACCTCCCACGTCTTCCTGGGCACCTCAGTGTTAAGACACCTCAGAAATGCTAGAAAGGCGGTCCAAAGTGGTATTATAAAAGTTGGGCTGATAACTGGCAGCTGAAACCATCAACCCCGAGCGTCACCTCAGCCCTTCCACCTTCACTCCTTTTCCGTTAGAGCGGATTTTCCCGCTTTGGCATCCGGCCGCGGATTACCAGGTGCGTGCGACTTCTCCAGCCCCGGCGCAGATCCCCTTCTCTTCTGGCGCAACTCAGCACTACGAATCTCTTCCCCAAGTCCAATATCTGGTCCAATATCTCCGATCCTTTCAATATCCAGTACCTGGTCCAATATCTCCGATCCTTTCTTTTCCAACTGAATCACAACCTTTTCACGCGAGAGGGATTCGAGCTACTTTGACAGAACCAATCTCTCCTTTCTCCATACACCTATCTTCTTCTGGAGCGGTTTTTCTCCCCCTCCCCCCAAAAGCCCAAGTCCAGTCTCGTTTTCCCTCAGGTACCTATTTTCTTTTCCCTTCTCTCGCATGCTACTTCATCCCTCTTCCCTCTTCCGTTTTTTGCCCCTTCTCAAAGTGCTACGAACGAGTATTCCGGATTTTTTCAGCCAATAAGGTATAGCGTTTTATTTCACCGCCTCAAAAAATCCTCTCACTCTTTTTATCCCCCCCCCCCTTTGTTTGTTGTGTTGAACAAATAATCTTCTCCCTGCACAGATAACCTACTCCCATATCTACTCCCACACATCCACCCTCGCAAGCCCATCCAACCTTTGAAGGTGCCCTGGCACACATTTTTCTCGGTAATTCCCCCACCCCCGCCTTTAGACACGCCTTCTCGCTTCCCGCCTGCCTTCAAGGTATAGATTTAGTTCACCGCAGAACTCTGGCACCTCGCGTCTCCTACAGCTGATTCTAGAAGACTTAGGTGAGGACGGTCTTCCAAATTCCCCACACCTCTCTACACACCTTCGCAATTCAATCTCACACAGTTGCCCCATTTCACAAAGCCCAGCTCCGGGGTCCCTGAATGTCTGACAAGCATTCTTTGTAACAAAATTTTCGTGGTCTTACCTTCTCTTTCCTCTTTTTGCATAATAGTAGAATCTAAATAGAGGCACCAATTTTGAGAGTAGTTAGAGACAGCATAGTCTAGCTGGTTTGTTTGTCCTTTTGTGTCCATAAGAACCAACCAGAATCTTTCCGAAGTCCTCAAGATTTTTCAGCTTCTTCTGCCCAAGATTGAAGGACTAAGTTCTTGATTCTATTGACACTTTTTGAGAAACAAACAATCCTATGCTACTGTAGGCATTCCCTTTCCTAAAAAGATAGTCTTTTCTTCATTTTTGGCAGCTCTTTGTCTCAACAATTCTAAGGTGCCATCATTGGAAATTGTTGGGGTTCCTGACTGACATCATTTTCTTCCATCTTGGCAGGTCTTCATGGGATGCATATTGTAGGTTCCTGAGTAGATGAAGAGTGGAATGTCTATTATAGGAAGGAAGGCGGTGGCATCAGAAAATGACTAAATGACACAGGGCTGTATTGGAGAACCCTGGGATTAATCCACTTCTCTGAAAGATTTGCTATCAAACTCACTTTGAAGTTAATAACCTGCCTTGTTCCTCCATGACTGGCAAGCATCCTGGCATATCATCCTGTTGTCAACCATTTATGGATATTAAAAAGTACCATCCTCAACCAACCATCCAAAGAGACTAATGAAAGAGGGCTTTTTGACTATACCCTGACAATTTGATCCACATGAATGCATTAGTTTGGATACAATATTGCCACTCTCAGATCCTGCAGAGATCAGGAAAGTGAAGACACTGGTTAAAAAATATCCTTAAATTTCATCTCCAGGAAAACGATGGAAGGGGAAAAGAAATATTCCTGGAAAGCATTATTTCACAATAGGGTCAAACCTCCACCAGAGAAGAAAATCATGCTGTAGATTTCACTGTACAATTCTGTTCAATCCAAGATATGATTCACTGCAACGCATGCAGCAGTTAAATGCAAAAGCAGTTTGTACCACTTTTATTGAATTTCTGTCTTATGTTTAGGTTGGGGAGGAAAATGTTTTAAGTAGGAATGGCTTAGCACTCTGAATGGAATCTGCCTGTGACCACTATAAGGTCCTCCCTTGACCAGAAAGTCTTTCCTTGATAGCCTTTCCTGACTTGTCACTCTCCCTCAAATGTGTTGGACTTTCAATCTCCATTATTTACACACACACCCCAAGCATATAAACGTCTAGATATAGTTGGAAGGCAACAATTTATGGAAAGTTGTCTAGCAAAACATGAACCAGAAAAGAGAATGGTGGTACTGAGCAAAATATTTAGCGAAAGAAAATCTATTATCCCCAGACTATCTTATGCTTTCAAATGACCCAAGGTTAAAAAAATTAATTAAAAAATTCTACTCTGTTCTTTCCATGCATTAAAAAAATCCTGTCAGGGAATACAAAATATGAAGACCTTCTTGCTACTGTATAGCAGATGTGGTTCTCTCCAGATGTTCTGAACTTTAAACTTTCCAGAGTGGGTAATGCCTAGAGTTGGGAAATTTAGGCTAAGGCATTCTGCTGCTTGCACACTCCCTCAAGGCTATGAAAATAAGGAGGATCTCTTTTCTCACCCTGGTGAATGAGTGGGACAACTGTAGCAGATCTTTAAGCAAGCAACCTTTATGGGCTGAATTGTTGTTGTTAAAAAGTAATAGAATGAGAACTAGGGTGCTGAATTTCCTTCTCTTTGCAAGCCATATTTTGTGCCTCAGAACATATTTTGTACACCAGAGTTAGGACCAATGTATATAATGAGATTTTTCTAACTTGATGGCACCATAGGACAAGATTAAATTCCTTTGTCTCTGCATCCCTATAGTCATTTGGATAATTCTCACAACTCTTGTCTCATTTAGATTATTGTACCCTATGACTATCATTGTGTTGTACCTTATGATTCTTGATGAATGTATCTTTTCTTGTATGTATACTGAGAGTATTTGCACCAAGACAAATTCCTTGTGTGTCTAATCACACTTGGCCAATACAGAATTCTATTCTAGTCTATCCTCTCCACATAGCAAAAAGCACTTAGAAGATGGAAGGAAAATGAGAACTCAAGACTTTGTGCATCCCACTCTCCATATATACACCAGACTGAAACTGCTGCCTCTCTACTAGGCTAGGTGTGTAACTAATAAGTTCAACCCACACTGTGACTTGGGGATAAGATTTTTTGTTTTGGGAAGAACAGAGCCATGGAGACAAGACTGGTCATATTCTATTTATAGTCACTCAACTGCTGCAATTCAGAACACTCCAACAATTTTCTATTTACAGAAATGATTGAATATTTAATAAGTCAACCCAAGTTAAGGCAGGTGAATGAATGGATCTTCTCAGCTTTTCATGTAAATAACTCCAACATTAAAAAAAGGGGGAGGGGGGAGGAAACAGCAGGAACTTGCCTTCAGCAAATAAGGTGCAAGCAAGGTGATAACTTTATTATAGTAGAATGACTTTAAACCTAGAACTCTATACCTCTTTAACATGGGTTTTGTAGAGCAGGTCTTCTTGGAATAATGTAACTGCTGGGAATCCAATCCTTCCCAACCCATTATTATAATCAGATAAGACACACAAATTAGATTTATATTCTCATTTATTAGATGATAAAGTAAAAAATGGTGAAATCAAATATATATTTAAAAAAAGGACAAAACTGAAACACAAGCATATCTAAATAGGGTAGAGCTATCTACAAAGATATGTTACAGTTAAACAAGCTCAACAGTTTTTATTGCACACGAACATGTAATGTTATCTAGAAAGTAAAAAGTCCATTTCTGTTTGATCAAACATATATCACAATTCCATTAAATAAAACCAGGAAAAAAGATCATCATATAGCCAAAGAAGCAAACATTTTATTTTCTTCTTCAATCCAGTTGATTGCCAAGTCTGTAATTATAGTTGAGTTGTTCTTTCTAGACTTTTAGCTGCATCTTTTAACTTTCCCACTAAATCCTAAAATATAAAATAAGAGCTTAAGAAATGTTTTGCTGTAAATAACTAATTCTATGCAATATTTGAAGTTTTCTTTATACCAACATTTCCAAAGATTCCAAAAT